ATGCATTAACAAATAAATTTAAGTTATTCTGTAGTAATGAACTATAAAAATAAATTAATTTTTAAAGACCTGCTAGGTAATTAGATTAAAATATGCTACAACCAAAAGACTCAGCCTTTCAGCTTTATTCCTGATCCAGATCAGGGCCATAAAATAATCCATTTGAAAACACAAATTGGCTTTCCCTACAAGTGTACATATATATGAATTTGTACATATATTTATAACAGTAACTGATCTTTTTCAAAAATATGACTGCACTGTTGTAAACCACTATGGATTTTTCTCTCTTGAGCTAAAAATTTTCCAGTTAAGCAAGTCTAGTAAGATATAAGAGTGAGGATTATTTTCAAAATTGCTTAAAAAAACGAAAAATAGAGTTACCATATGAACCAGCATTCCCACTCCTGGGCGTATATCCAAAGGAAACTCTAATTTGAAAAGATACATGCGCCCCAATGTTCATAGCAGCACTACTTACAATAGCCAAGACATGGAAGCAATATAATGTCCATCGATAGATGGATGGGTAAAGAAGATGCAGCATATATACACAATGGAATACCACTCAGCCATAAAAAGAATGAAACAATGCCATTTGCAGCAACATGGATGGACCTAGAGATTATTATACTAAAAAAAATGACAAATGAACTTATTTACAAACCAGAAATAGACTCACAGACATAGAAAACAAACCTAAGGTTACCAAAAGGGAAAGGTGGTGGTGGGGTAGATGAATTAGGAGTTTGGGATTTGCAGATACTAACTACTATATATGAAATAGATAAACAACAAGGTACTAGTGTATAGCACAGGGAACTATATTCATCAGTTTGTAATAGCCTATAATGAAAAAGAATATATATGTATATAACTGAATCACTATGCTGTACACCAGAAACTAACACAACATTGTAAATCAACTATATTTCAATTTAAAAAATAGAATCATTTTTCAAATTCCAGAGAAGCAAAAAATTTTTATAGAAAAATGGGATACTTTCTCTAATAAAGAACCTCTAGAAATTAATAGGAAAATGACAAATGACACATAATTACAAACTGGGCAAAAGATACTAGCTATTCACAGAAAAGGAAAAGCAAGTGATCCTGAAACATATGAAAAGATGCTCAACCTCATCATAAAAAAGGCACTTACAAATTAAAATCATATTGAGATTTTCTGTTACCTACCAGGCAAAATCTAAAAGTCTGGCTGAACCCTGTAGACTGGACAGGAAGTGCTCTCATATACTGCTGGTAACAGAGCCAACTGGTGCAACCCCTTTGGACAACAAATCTGACAGAAGTGCTCAAAATTGTAATTGTATACAGTTGACCCTCGAACAACACAGGAATTAGGGGTGCCAACCCTTACAGCTGAAAATCCATCTGTAATTTACAGTGTGTCCTTGGTATCTGTGGGTCGGCATCCATCCGCATTCAGGTAAGAGTGATGTAGTGCTGCAGTGTGCGTTAATGCAAAAAACCCATGCAGAATGGACCCATGCAGTTGAAACCTGTGCTGTTCAAGGGTCAACTGTATAGTTTTCAATTCTTCAACCCTACTTCTGGTAATTTATCCTTCAGCCATGTGCATATTTATGTGTTAATGGGAAGGTTGTAATATTTATAATAGCAAAGCACTGGAAACAACCCAAAGGTCCATAAGTAGGGATAGGTTAAATCCATACAATGTAAAACAATGTGGCTGTAGGGAAGAGGGGAGCTACACCTGCCTCCTCCATGCAGTGACATGAGAGGACTTACAGGATGCAATAGTGAGAAAGGCAAGAACCAAGTTGTGTTTAATATGGGTAATATGGAAATATATATTCATAATTTCTTATATTCCTCACATAAAGGAAAGAAACATAAGAGAAACTAATAAAATGTGGGCCCGTGGTTCTGGGGAAGTGGGCAGGTGGCAGACAGGGGTGGGGACACTTTGCACTGTGCTCCTATTTCATAGTTAGATACTTTGAATTGCTTAAATTTATTATCTGTTCAAAAATTAGGCAAAGAATGTCCCGATCTAGCAGTTGCATTCCTTGGTGTTTATCCAAAGGAGTTGAAAACTTATGTCCACACTAAAACCACAAAGAATCAATTCCTAAGTACCCAAACTTGAAATAATCAAAATGCCCTTCAGTAGGTAAATGGACACATAAACAGTGTTACATCCAGACAATGGAGTATCATTCAGAGCTACAAAGAAATGAACTATCAAGCCATGAAAAGACATGGAGGAACCTTAAATGCATATTACTAAGTATAAGAAGTCAATCTGAAGGGGCAACATCCTGTGTGATTCCAATTATATGACATTATGGAAAAGCAAAACTATGGAGGCAGTAAGTAAATTAGTGGTTGCCAGGGGTTAGGGGAGAGGGAGGGATAAACTGGAGGAGCACAGAGGATTTTTAGGGCAGTGAAG